ATTAGAGTTAAACTTTAATCTTCTTGCTATAGTTAACTCTACGTATACGACATCTTTGCGGATACAATAAGTACTTCTTGAATCATTTATTTGATCAAGAATATCGCATGTGTTACTACCTACATTAATTCTCGGGACGATTAATATTTGTTGGGCACATGGAAATAGTAAGATACATCGCTAATAATCGAAGAAATGCAAATTCTTTCTACATAATATAAGAAACGGCAATCATTGGTACGCAAATGATATTGGCAGCTTTAACACATTCGTTATAACTAGGGAAATTTAACTGGGGTAAGCTATCAGTATTTAACAAGGAAAAGTCCTATATTAAAGGATATGAATTTATTATAAATATTAATTTGCTATTAAGATGAATGTTTACGTAGTATAGAATGCTGTATAAGATTCTTAGTGCAGCACTATAACCCCGGACTTATCCCAAATATCGCCGGTAGATTTCTGCTACTTGATCAATCTTTTAATACTCCTTGATAATTTTAAAATGAAGACATTCGATCTAAACTCAGTACGATAATTGATAGCGACGAACAGAATTGATCAATCTTTTAATTTTCCTTGACATTATTAAAATGAAGATATTCGATCTCAAGCATGGTAGGATAATTAATAATACGCCTCGATTATTACGTGAAATTGATTCGAACTTATTTGCCTTCTATATCACATTGCTACTCGATTAAAATCTGATTACTGCAAACGGTGTAACTCAGTTCCTAGTAAATCTAGATAGCAACTTAGTAAATGTCTTCCCATAAGTTTTTGTCAACACTGTAGTAAAGATAAAGTGTCCTTGAGAAACTTGACTAAAACTTCAATTCGTGATTATCGTTACCTTAGAACTTAATTTCGACTTATTAACAGCAATCCAAGCTAAAACATAAGAGAATTTTCACCATTTTAATATATAGACTTCAATGTTAAATTTATTATGACACTGTATTAATCTAATCATTTCTACAAAAAATAAATCGATTAAAAAGGACGTCAATAAAAGGAATATGCGGCCTCTGATTATAACTAATAGCCCTATCTCATTTGTTAATTTATTTATTTTGATCTCCAATTTAATATTGCAATAGTTATTCGAAGGGAGTTCATATGTAGTATGATTCGAATTATTTTGAAATAATTGATCGCTATTTGCATTAGTCTAAATATTGGTAATGACCGAGTTTTAGCTACCTAATGAACTGCTTAACAATGACTGTATAAGTATCTTTCCGTAGCACTCTCCTTTTAGCCGTGATGATATTACGAAAAAATTTGCTTTTACTTTACATATTTCGATACTAATTCGGAAGGGTACATGGTTTTTTCTTTCCACTCTCCATTTAGTCTTGATAATTATTACAAAAATCCGCTTTTATTTTAAATATAAAGATTAATGAAATTCAATTAAGCATATTGATTATAGGATCATAATTAACATTAATAATTCATTCAATTAAAGATTCCGTTATCGTATTAACTTACATAACAACTTTTTTTCATCTATAATTTAAGTTCAAGCACTTCGTTAAGATTTACGATATTTCTGTAGTAAAGCTGCCCATATTTGATTATAAAGATAACCATATTTGATTGTGTTGATAGCTGTACCTGATGTAGTTAGATCTTCAAGAATAGACACGTATTACTGTGATGTTAATATTAGATGTTTGCTAACTATTATATTAGAAATTGTTAATTAATTACTAATATTAGCCAGTTAAACAATTACGGTATAAGATTTTATGAAACTTGATAAACTGTATTCGTGATGATTTACATGAAGAAAAAGTACGGTATTTTATTTGGTGACTCAATTCTGATTGTAGTTAATTATGTAGCGGCGAAAGGATTTTCGAAATTTGTTTAAGAGCTGCAGAGATAAGCTTGGATAAGACTTCACTTCACTTCATTTTGAGCTCGGAGTAGTTAGACTAAATTTAAGCTAGTAATTAATTATTTCTCTATTATTCTTAAACTTTGCAGTAAAAGCCTTTCTAAAATTCTCTCTTGATAAAAATAATTATTTTGAGAGACATTTTACTGTATACTATTCCTTAAGTGAGTTACAATTCATAAAGTTTTAGATATAGTTATTTATTCTTGATCATGTTGTAATTTTGAACGTATTGAATTATCGTGATCATATCTAGGTGCGAAACTATAACCATTGTATGGTAGCCCCTTACCTTTACATTAGAGTTTTGAGTATAAGAGCAGCACTAAGGAACTGTTACTCAGTTTTAGGATAGTTCGCCTCGAATAAGATACACTGCTAGCTTTTCATTCTGCAAGTCTAAATTATTAATAAAGAACATTCCTAAACTAACTACATTTGAGTATCAGTAATTATCAACAAGCAAGGAATCGTGACTAGAGCGCCTCTAGCTAAACGGCTACAAAGCGAATCCCTGCAGGTTGCAACACATCACTTGGCAAGATCTACGCATCAAGATAGACTTTAGATATTCCGACTAGCTACGACTTGATGAGTAGAAATAGCTTACAGTTTTATCTATCATTCATATGATAAAAATTCTATAAAACTAAAGGGCTAAACATAAAGGCATTGGTCTTAAAGCAGTTATAAAAATCTGATTTATCTTTTTAATAAAAGCACAAATCTTTGGTATATGCTACACTCTAGAGTTCAATCCAATTGGGAACAATCAAGTATGTCTTAAAATCCTCGGTATTAACGAGTGCTTTGTCAGTCATAAAATAACTTTACTTTAGGATAGAGTTTGTAAAATTCTCAATAAAGGATTAAAAAGGGTTCAAACCATATTAGACAAGCTACTGTGCAATCAACAGCATATATATGTCGTTTACCGTATAGATAACCGGTCATTTTGCAAAATGGTCATTGTGATATTAAATTATTGCTGTGATGAATTATAAAAGTTATGCATTTGCTATACTAATTTATATTATATCATCGAAATCAACAGGCTATCAAAAAAGGCTCACTGGAAGAAATACGGAATCTAGTTACTCTTAACTATTATCATGATAAAATCAACTCACTCGATAAAGAGAATTTATTTACATTTATGCATTATGCTGCAAGATATAATCGATCCGATGTTATTGGTTGCTTGATCGATTTTGGTGCAGGTAATTTGCCATAATGGAAGGCATATATTATTGTAATAGGAAAAAATTTATTTTAAATAGCTAACTTATTAATATTTTTATATCTTTATTTAATCATGTGTGGTTAACTTTATATCATTTCGCAAAAATTATTGATTATTTAGATGTTAACAGTATGGGCGGCAAAGATAGTATTGCGCCTCTCCATGTTGCTGCCCAGCATAATTGTACGGAGGCAGCTCAAAGTCTAATTCGGTTTGGTGCAACAGTTCATGTTAATTCTAAAACGAAAAATAGTCCTTTGCATTATTGCTGTAAATACGGAAGTGATGGAGTTGCGGAGGTATTACCATATCATAATCTTAAATACGGTACTTTATTTAATTGCAGTTACTAGATCACAAATCTACACAAGGTATTATTTCGCATATTTAGACTACAGTTAAATCGCTATTGAGGCAATATATAACTCTTCTTATCCTATTGTAAATACATTGAATATAGTTTATTTGAAATTTGTATCTTAACCAGATAATTTTAAAAGAAACTGAAAGACTGAATATTACTGGAAAGATTATTAATCATCCTGATAACGAATCTTACTATCCTATCCACTTTGCAGCTTTATATAATAATAAGGCGATGATTGATATTTTAGTAAGCCAGATATTGATTTAGCAAAAGATTTGTATTTAAATACAGGCAGTGCTATCTTAAAATTGGTAACTATTTCTAAATTTCTCGATACTTTTTACATCCTATTCATTATTTAGCTAAAGTTTGGGGCTAGTATAGTAAAAAAGAACGTTAACGGTCGATTACCCTCTCATTTTGCTGCTGAACATAAAGATACAGCTGTTCTGGAGGATCTCCTGCAATGCGGTACATGGAATTTATTCATACGTGTTATGAGAAATATTCTACTAAATTTCCGCTATGAATGATATACGATTCAAATAACTTTTCAAACTATTTATTTGTAGCCAAAGTTAAAGGACTTAACGATTATATAATAATATCTAATAACGAGGGAGGTACGGCTCTTCATATAGCAGCCGATGTCGGTTCCATTATAGTAAGTATATAGTATACTCTTGTTTATTGATTTTTAATGCAATTTGAATATACTACTGCAATATAAATTTAATCTAACTAAAAGTGCTGTGACTCAGTTTGATCTTTACGAAATTACGGAAGCGTGCGGAATTTCTGCTGAGCCAACAACAACAAATAAATTTCCTTTCTTTTCTATCGGTGGTTGAAATCGACCTTTATTAACTACAACTAACCAACTTACTAACTCACACTCGAACCCACTCCCCAAGATAGTAAAAGCGCCTCATTTATATACTCTAACATTGGCATGAATATGCATAACTTCTCTAACATTGCGATAACATTCTTGAGATATCATTTTTCAGTATAACACAACTGACTAATAAACATACTTGTACCGTACTGTCTGTCCGTACAACATTAATTTATCATTTACCGGTACAGCAATACAAGATAACGGTAACAACTATGCATAGTTAAGGATATTAATCCTTAAGAACAATATTATCTAGCGATGCTAGTCTAGCAGTCGCGACAAAAAGTACTGCATTATTATTAATCGACATACTGTACATTTAATCGATTAGGCAGCAGAAATATGCTTGAAGTACGGTGCGGAAATCGAAGCTCAAACCGTAAATTAAATTATAATTTTACGTAATTATTCCTTTACACTAGTCAAAAATTTTAATATTATTTTATACTACATACATCTTCATAAGATAGTATCGTATGGCTAATTATCGCATACAATTGATTGATAAGGCCAAATTTTGATTGTAGTGATAAAATTTATTTCATATTTACTTATTTTGTACAAGTATGAACTATTAACACCTCTGCACATTGCGGCCAAAAATGGTAACTACGAATTTGCCGAGTTTCTTATCAGCAGAGGTGCTAAAGTTAATTCAAAAGACGATGCTGGAAGAACTTGCTTACACTATGCAGCTTTGAGTAATAGTATTTCTATAACGGAACTTATAATTCGAAAGGTACTTTCGTAAATGGTATTTCTTCAGGTAGTGCTATATTATTGTACGATCGTTATTAATTCTCATCCATTTTATCTCAATACCCAGGGAGCAGATATCGAAGATCGTGACACTGGAGGCCATACACCGTTACATTTAGCTGTTAAAAAAGGATGTACACAAGTTATTAAGAAACTATTTGAATTAGGCGCCGATATTACGGCTACAGACTCTGATGGTCGGCACTGCGTTCATTACATAGCTGAGCAAACTGATATTAGCACCATACAGGCCGTCTTAGAAGTAAGCTTACTATGCCGATCTTGAATTTATTAAACTATAAAATTAATTACGGATATCATTTCCGTTTGTAAAATTCGAAACTATCATGGCCCTAAATAGAATGGAGGAAAAGAATTAGTAGAATGTCCTGATAACGAAGGCCTCGTACCATTACGTATGGTAGCTACAGAAGGGAACCTTCCAGTGAGCTTTATAATAATCGATCTCGAAATTAATTTCTTTAATTAAATAACAAATCGGTTTCTTAATAGTGGTAATTCTATAAAATCTCGATTAGCATCTTTTAAATATGAAGCCTTTAGCTACGTATGAGATAACTGCTAAAGTACCCTTAGAAGTCATCGTCGTGGCTACAAGCCATGCATGCAAAGTGTCCTATGTGTCTATCTGTTTCTTCTAATGGCATAAATCCATCTTCTTCTCAACTCGCAGGCACTGTATTTTCTCGTTCAAAATGGTGCCTCGATGGGCACTTTAGATAAAGAAGGCAACACACTTTTGCATATTGCGGCCAAAGGCAATCATCGCGATACTATTAAACAAATCTTAAAGCACACCAATGCAAAAGATATCAACACTAGAAATACATCAGGTCAAAAGCCCATCCATATTGCAGCTATTTACGGCCATAATCGAGTTATACAGAATATGATTAAGAATGGCGCTGACATTAATAGCAAGTAAGAATATTGAAAATTGAAATTAGAGCAATTAAACGATCATTTTAGCTTATAACATTTGACTAATAATAGTTGTGGCAGTAGATTCTAGATAACGAATATTTTTCATAAATTGTTAGAGATATCCATTCTTATTACCCACTACACTATGTTGCAAAGGATGGATATACGGCAGCAGCCCAGCTGTTAGTGGATGAAAATGCTAAAATCGATGTCTTAGATCGCTCCGATGTAGATAGTCTTGGCTCATCTTTCTACATGATAAAACAGTTTTATTCGATATTTATTTTAACAAACTTTTGATATTCTAGTTATGCATAGAATTAGATCGTTCATTCATTTAGTCTTCTTCTAAGTTATAAGAGATATCTTACTTTTTTATTACGAAAATATGTTATACGCATATGAGTACGGTAATGAAAGTAAAGATCCTTTACGTTACTCGAATTGATAAACTTTCGTACATAATAATCTAAATGTCGATTATGTACCTGTACCGTAACATATACAACTTCATTTACGAGTATTAAATTAATCTAATATTGCAATAGTCTCTACTATGTCTATTCTAGTCCTTCTAAGCTTTTACATTCTTAATTAAAATAACTAAAGCTCCTAACACAATTAACTTTTAATCTGGAAGAATACGCCTATACATTTAGCATGTGCTAACGGACATCAAGAAGTAACCAAAATATTGTTAGCAAGTGGAGCTGACCCAACAACGATCAATAATCAGGGCCTAAATTGCTTAGACTTAGCGATAGAAAACGATCAAACGGAAATTGGACTACAAATTATCCGTAGTAAATAGTAAGATTCTAATTTTGAAATATTATTCTTCAACGAGTAATCTTCCTGTTTTGACCTTGCTGTTTTTTTTAATTTACGGTATGCAGCATAGTCAGAATATAGTTATCCCAATATTTATCTCAAGATATTCTTAATTCTACTTGTAGTTGGGAAAAGGCTCTAGAAAATAAAGAATTTGATGGACACACGCCAATGAGGAGACTTATTGAAAAACTTCCTATTGTCGCTTATGTAAGTATATATTTTACATACATGTGAGGTACATAATAACAAGACAATTTATCGTGTAATATATCGATACCTTTATAAAATACAACACCGGTAACAGTGCATTGGATATTTATTAAAGTACACTAACAGCTTGTGATATATACCAATCACGAAATTCCAAATTTTAGAAAAATAAGGGCTTTATTGAATCTTATACAAAGATTAACTACACACAGCTCTACTCTAGCCGAATACTACTACTAAAGACTTCTAGAACGAACTAACAGAATAATCTAAAGTTGCATGCTTTTATACTTTTCGTAGCATTCGCAGCTACAATCCGCATGGCAACCTTTTACCTTATTTTACACATAGTTAAATTATTCTTAGTAACACTATTCTACTGCGGACCACCATTAGTCCGATATGGATACGACTACAGTATTTACGTAGACATTATTGACACTAGCCAAAGTACAATGAATTAACCATATCCTAATATATGATTTACAGTTCTATTTTTACCTATAGCCTTATTAGTAACCAAAAACCTTACTGTATATAGTCATCTACTCTCTAACATAGAGTCTATACCACTACAGTCTAATAGTTATGGCTACCAAATATCTACCGTACATTATACTAAACATGGCTAACAGCCTACAATCACAACACTAGTTACATTACACAGCTCTATTGTATCATAGATTCTTCTATCAACTTGTACTTTAAAAAGAAAATCATAGTCTGCGTAACGTCTAGATATGTACTAATTATATATCATAATTTAAAATCTGAAGATATTTTGCGATAATATATATTAGTTGCTAAATATGATAAGCTTTCCTAATCATTATACTGTCTAAACTAACGCAGGCCGTAATGGACCGATGTATAACGTATACAAGTGATATTGGAGATTCCAAAGAAAAGCAGGTTAGTTAATTGCGTTGTTCAAAGCTGCTATCTTAAATATTACATAATTAAAATTCTAGATGAATAAATTTGGGAATCCAAATATTTTTAATTCGAAATGTTTCAGATTGTTTTTAACTTTAGCTATCTGGAAGCCCCACCAAGCAAAACTAAAACTAAAAATACTGAGGACAATTATTCGGCGGCATCGGTACGAGTATTTAATTAATAAGCAATTTTAGAAATGTAATTTGTACGGCAACAAGTAATTTGTAGATGTATTTATCTACAACAGAGATAACATTGATCCTTTATACTATTAACATTCTTCATTTACAGAGTATTCTCTCGCATAATAGGATCAAGTTAATGCAACATCCTCTCATTCGGGCTTATCGACATTATAAATGGTATTAGCGATAGGCTCAAACCTATTGATACTACCCTTTCTACAATTAAATTCGATATCTTATGTAATTAATTTCTCTTTTATTACTGTACATTTATAACAGTACATTGTACAATAATTTATTAATTTAGGAATTCGCTATTACGATATCACTACTACGGGCGATGTTTTATCAATCTAGTATTTCTGTTGGCTGTTTGTACACCTGTTAGCCTAAATATTGACGACTATTATAAAGCTGTCCGTAATCAAACTGGAAATAACGCTGTTGAACAGATAACAGTAACACAGGTATAATATTCGATAGTTTTAATAATCTTTGATAACATTTATTATTAGCATTTAATAGATAGGATTGATATGGTCACTAATGTTATCTTTACGGTTTCGACTCTTACTCTTATATCCACAACTTGGCAATGTATGTATCGGTGCAATTTGGATGAATACGTTATTCGACGATTATCAGTATTCGGAAGAAGTTTATACAAGAAATATTGTTGTATTTTCAGCCGTGGTGTTTAATGTTTTCATTCACGTAACCAGACTAGTCTTCGTGGTTAGTTTACAAATTTGTACCTGATAACATACCTATTGTGCATAACGGTATTTGATTATACTTGTCCATAAGTTAAAAAAAACTTTACTATTGACATTAACAGATATCTTAATCATTTGATTTAATATTAAGATTAACATAACTTTCGTTTAAAAATAATGTAAATGACAATTCTATATCGTCTATTTAAGCCAAGCAAGTTTATGAATGAAATTGCAGCTTCTATAGTAGAAATTGGGATCGAATTAATGGCTCTATTATATTGCCTTCCATTTCAACAACCAACAACAATTCTAAAAGTACAAATAGGAGCCATGATTGTTTTTCTCTCCTTTATAAACTTTCTAAGGCAGCTAAAAAGGTAAGCCTCAAATAGGATTTTACTTAAAATTAGGCAATTTCGTTCGTCGCTATCGGTTAATTTATAAATATCGTCTATTAAGAAACGAGAAAATGAATAGCTTGTAATCGTAAAGTTTGATACTCAACTCAATCATTAAGCATGAAAAGTTATGATCTCCTATCCTTCATTACCTTACATTAAGAAAAGCTGAGATAGATAAATTAAGATCAATTATCTCACCAACTGTGTAATAGTTGAGTAATAGTCTCCTAGTATTATTGGTAATCCATGTGTCTAATTTTGGAGTACTCTATTTAATCAGCGTCTAAATAAATAAGATAGTGCAAGTTATAGTTAGCCCATGATGCCTATAAATTGATAGCTTTAATAATCAACTGCATCTATTCCGCTGAAATTTATAATTATTAAATTTCTTTAATTCAAGAATGTAATATATTTTAAGCTAATCTGATAAACATTTTAATTATTACAGTATCTATAGTCAATCTTAGGACTTTATGATTGTTGCATCACTAATATAGAGCCTTCGGTGTCGGATTATATTTGACCATGTTTCTCACCATCATGAAGACAATTATAAGAGCTTCACTAGTTATTATTCTATTTTTGATTGCCTTTGCTATCGCTTGCCATATGGTTTTAAGACAATTGGTAAGTAGTAGAAAGTTTTCATGTATTACAAATTATATCTTCTATTAATATTAATTCACGCTTACAGCCAGAGTTCAGCGAATTAGGGTACGCCTTTATACGTGTTCTAACGATGATGGTTGGAGATATCAGTTACCGCGAAATATTTCAGCATTTATACGACACAAATCAACTACAGAACTCTGGTTTAGCTTTGATCATTATTGTCCTCTTTGTTGTAATTATTAACATTGCTTTTGCTAATTTATTGGTAAGCTGATGTTTAACCATATTATATTACATTTCATCATCAGTCTTTTTAAAATCTGTTGCTGTATTAACTGTACATTACTGTATTAAGGTTGGCTTGGCTGTAGGAGATATAAATAAAGTCAGATCAAATGCCGATATTAGTTTAATTCAAATGGATCTTTCTTATATAAG